TAGCAGGTCACACAGGTGCAAGGCCAAAAACATATTCACCAGTTGAATAACTTGCATTTTTTTGCATTCCATGGGGAAAGGTGGCTGACCCTTTCGTTCGTCTTCCTTGCTATGCCATGATGTAATAAAAATAACACAACCTCAGTTTTTATACAAAAAAGCCGTGTCACTGAAAGCATAACAACCTCCACTATTAGGTGATTATTTAACACCATTATGGCTTCCAACTAGCCTTGATAGCTCCGAAGGAAAGATAAATAAAATGGTATAGATATTTATATTCTGCTATTCTTTCATATAGTGTCTGATCTAACTGATCTCCTATGGTATACCTCACTAACCATGTATTGTCTATTGTATGGACTCATTGGTTTATATCTTTGATAAAGAATTAACAGTCAAATTGTTGATACCTATCATTCTCTCCTTCTCCAGAAAAAAATGAATATCACTATTTTTTTTTCTATCAAATCTCTTATCTAAGTCTATAAATAAAAATAACAAAATAAAACCAAAAGTAGTGCTATGCTCTAGTTTTACTTCCAAAGGAATGTTCTGAGATATCATGTAATCTACAAATAATTTTGTACTATTCCTGTTTGACAGTGATGAAAACTCCCTAATAAATGTTTCTCCATATCTCATTCTATTAAAATATAATATAAGGTCATATATTTTTGAAGTGACAGGGACTATTAGCAATCTAATAACAGTAAAGAGCATCTCAACCATATCCTATTTTTAAGTATTGTGTACAGTTCACAAAATATCTTACACTTTCAAATACTGTCAGATTCCTAAACAAACAGAGCTGGTACATCCCATATATCTGAACAGGTCACAAATCTTGCCTTTATTTTAAACTGTACGTTATACCAAATCACGCCACAGCAATTCCTTAACCATAAAGATCTCCTTCATAGAACTCTACAATAATTATGATATTGGGAAAATTTATAGACTATTTTGATTTTCGTGATTTGTACTTTTGGCTCATTTTATGGGCACTGTAAACTCTTATGCAGTAGTTAGAACAGCATAGACATTAGAGATTTTCTATAACAGATCTAGGATTTCCTAAGAAGTTACACGTTGAGAAAAGACAGCATGGTCCTATCCGTTTCCATGATTAACACTTCACAAAAGAAAAAGAGAAGAGAAAAATGTAATAGCTAACAGCCACTAACAGTAGAATAAAGAATAATGTAAGAAATGGTATGGAAAATTGTGAATAAACATAATTTTGTTTTATTGTGACTTTCCTGGTCAGGCTTAAGATGACAACCATATGGCACTCTGAGAGAGAGAGAGAGAGAGAGAGAGAGAGAGAGAGAGAGAGAGTGAGAGTGAGAGTGAGAGTGAGAGTGAGAGTGAGAGTGAGAGTGAGAGTGAGAGTGAGAGTGAGAGTGAGAGTGAGAGTGAGAGTGAGAGTGAGAGTGAGAGTGAGAGTGAGAGTGAGAGTGTGAGTGTGAGTGTGAGTGTGAGTGTGTGAGTGTGTGTGTGAGTGTGTGAGTGTGTGTGTGAGTGTGTGAGTGAGTGAGTGTGTGAGTGAGTGAGTGAGTGTGAGTGTGAGTGTGTGTGTGTGTATGTGTGTGTGAATATATATACATACATATATATAGAGATAAAGAAAGATTGAATATTAAGTAAATGTATGAATATCAGATGAAGTACTGCCTCAGAGTTCAATGCCAACTACACAGGCTTTCTAGCCAAATGGAGACATACATCTCATCTTAAAGAAATATTCCAGAAATAAAATCCTTTCATAATGGATTTATGAGAAAAAGGAAAGACACAAGAGTAACTTAAAAAATGCAAATCAGCTCAACGATAAAGGTTAATAAAAGAGAATAAAGACCCATAAAGATTAAAGAATAATTCACAAGAATAAAGCAATGACAGTCAGAAACACAGAAGGGAACTGGCATACCTGTGGCCGAAACAAGAAAAGGAAAGGATATTATTGAGGAGCCCTTTAGATATAATAATAGTTCAAGTTATCACATAAACACTGAATTAGTCTCCCTAATTTTTATTATCTTAGGCACTCACTTGTTGATATACTTAATCATGGTATCT